CCCAATAATCCTGCAAAATATCCGCATTCAATCTGCGTTGATACTATCTTATTCTCAGATGATTTTTGCTTAGTTAGCAATATGATATTAATAACAGGAGAAAAGAGAAAACATTCTCTTGAAACAAAAATTATCAACCCTAGGAGTTTCAGATACAAAGTCCACAACATTTCGACTTTGTGGCATTCATCTTCTTTGATGAATGGTTTTGTGAAGGCATTGTATAACCCTTACGTACAGCTTTGCACTGAGCAGATTCTTAATAAATTTCCATTGACTGTTCTTTGACTACACTTCGTTCATGAGTTTTCCTGGTTCTGAGTCTGGGCTGGGTAAAGCTTACCTTGTGTTGGCTTAGAGATGTTATCAAACAGGCTGTTCGGGCAAGTGATGTCCACCACGGCCATTGTCTTCTGAAGTTGCTTCCTCTCATTTCAGCTCAGTTACAAAGGCGATGTTGGCACAGAACCGTGTTTTCTTGTTTATCACTCTGGGTAAAAGGTCCTAACCTGTTTGTAGGGACTGAGGGAATCTTCAAGTCTCTTTGTCATCGCCCAGAAGGGTTACCGGCTACATTTAATTTCCCCCTAGAGGTGTCTTGACAGTCTTGGCATTGATAGAGCTGAGTCTACACTCACATGTTACTGGTGGTTGTAATCACAGTTTTAAATGCAGGGCTCCAGTGCCCACTGGAGTCTCAGTGAGGAGATTTGGCAGAAAAATGGTCCTTCACTGAGCCCCCAGGTAGCCTGTCTACACCTGCCATTACCTGGCATTGAAATGCAAGTGAAGTAATCTTCCCATTTGTACTTGGGCAAAATGCCATCACACCAGGTGGACAAGAGTGTACATCAGAGGGAAATTATGCATGTACATTAACTGTGTGGACTGTAAGCATCCAAACATCTGTGTGCTCTGAGCTTCTGTGTGTGCTGTTTACACCATATGCTGTCACGGTGGGAGGCCCTGGTCAGAGCAGCAGAAATGAGCACTGTGAGTTTTATGGAAATTGTCTCCTATGGTAAATTTATCTCACCCCAGGCAAAGAAACTCATAAAATATTTTGAAAATCTCTGCTATTATTTCAAGTAATAAGTTCAAAAAAACTGATTTTTTGATATTAAAAAAACAAAAAGTGTAGACATTACAGAAAAAGAAAGAAATCAAAATTTGAACCACGTTCTACCAGTGTGCTCTCAATCTACTTTTGGTTCCCATGCTAATTTTCACACTCACGACACACATGCAGACACGGTGTTCTCATTGCTACCCTAGTGCCAACCAAACTATTCTCATTTCTGGCTTAAAATATGGTTTAGGTTTTCCATTTGCATGAGTTTTCCATTTTATTATTAAATGAAATGCTAGAAAAAGATTAAACAAGTTGAATTTTTATTCATAAAAATACTGATGATGGCCTTTTTTGGTGATCAGTAATTAATTTAAAGGTTAACCCATCTATAATCATTTTTAAATAGGAGAGAGGCAAGTAGAACAATTTAATCATACTGTAAGGTACATTAAATGGAATAATTTCAACTCATTCATTAAGTTTGTGATTTTAGGAATTTGATTTTGTCATCACTCTCTGTAGTCTGATTCCTAAAAGAAGTAGATGCCAAAATGGGATTAAACATGGAATAATTTTATTAGGGAAAAATACTCTTATGACATAAACTAATGAGGGAGCCAAGGAAGGCTGGATGGCCTCCCACTACAATGTCTGACCCCAAGAGAAGATTCCAAGGAAAGACATCCCTGGTGCTATCAAGTTAAAGATGGTTCAACCACACTGTGAAGGAACTGTGAGGCATAGAGGAGTCTTGGGCCCCCGGGAACAGACACACTTCAGCATCCAAACACAGCTGGTTGTCAAGTGAGAGAAGCTCTTGAGTAGCTTGATGTTAGGTGCAATGGAATTCCAGCACATAACAACTGGAGTTCATGGTCAAGTAATCCCACTTGTAATTACTTTTGTGAGCCACATGGTCACCATAACCTGAATAGTACTTCAACACTTAAAGTGTTTTAGCTAAGCTCATAAGAATCTGGTATATATTAACAATAATGGTTTTGCTTGCATGAAGAATTAACCTCTAGAGTAGATGAATCAATTCATGTTATAACACGTGTATACATGGAAATTTCCTGTATAGTTTCCTTAAGCAAACAAAAAATGGAGGACAGGAAGGTAAAACAAATCCTAACTGGGGGGTGGCATCAATGTGATGGGAGAGGATATTACAAAGGGTGTAGGAAGGTAAATATGGTGGGAATATTTTGTACTCATGTATGAAAATGGAAAAATGAGACCTGTTGAAACTTCTCCAGGAATGAGGAGAGGGAGGATAAAGTTGGAGGAGGTGACTTGAAGTATAATATAAGCAGTTTTGTAAACATCACAATGTTCTCCCAGTACAACAATAATAAACAAATAAATAAATGAGAATAATTATCTTCCAGTATCAAACATTCATATTAGCAAGATGGACCATCTCTCTGTGACAGCAGATTTCTGTCTGTAAGCTGAATTGCCATGAAGGTGGGCACAGATTCTGACAGAAGAGACTTAATGGACAACTCAAACTAATGGAACCAGGCTATGACATTCAGGTGCACTAATTTCCAGATAAAGCTGCACCTGTTCTAAGAAACATATGGGTAACACCTGGGCCCAAGAACTCTCCTCTGAAGTATGGTCCCTCTGGTTCTGTGCTGGCTACTCCCCTTTGTATCTGGTAGCTTCTGTTCAAAACAAAACCACCACAGAACTTAATGATACTTAATGGCTTATGGCACCAATTTATTTTATATTCCTCCTGGTTCTGGGATTGATTAGGCAATTTTTTAAATCCCCATTGGTTTGACTGGGACTGAATGGCCTAGACGAGCTGTATTCACATATTTGAGGACTCAGTGGGTTGGCAGGAAGGCAAGGGTGACTGGATTCTCTCACCACATGGCTTCTTATGCCCCAGAAAGCTAGACTTGACTTCTTCACTTGGTGGTGAAACGGCAAGCCCCAATATGCAGGCACTTTTTGAGTTTTTGCTTTTGTGTTTATTGTATTATCTAAGGCAGACAACGTGGTCGGTCCGAGCCAATGTGGTGGGGACAATCCAAGAGTGTGGAATGAAACTGACCAAACTGGGAATTTACTCTGTTACACTCTCTGATTAGTATGTTGCTCTTCTCCCTCTTCATCCTTGACCTTCCCCTCATCCCTGTCCTCCTCCTGCTGCTCCTCTTCCTCCTCACTGCCATCTTCTTCCCTTTTCCTTCTCTTCCTTCTTCCTCTACGTTATGATAAGACAATGAATGAGACCAATGTTTTCTGATTCTGGAGCAGAACTTATTCTCTAGGGTGAACTTTTTCATATGTTGAATTCATTTATAATTTGTTAACCATTATCTCAACCTTCAAAGTTGTCAACAGTGTCAATCTACCTCTTTTTTTTATTCCATAAGAGCTCTGAGTGAATATGGGTTTTCCTCAAAAAAAAAAAAAAGCTGCAAATACCTCCTTTAAAATCAGTAATATTACATAGGAACATTGCGGACCTGGGGTTTCATTTAATGATGGCTGATCAGTCCGTAAAGTAGCAGCAATTCATTACACTCCTGATCCTAATAAAATAATAAGCAGCTTTACTCTTCAGTTGGGTTGATCTTAAATGTAGAATTAGGAGGTAGAAACTGGCTAACATATGGCTTGTTGGAAACTAATTTTTTACTGCATGGCTCTTCTGTCACCTAACTGTGTTGAGCCCATTATTGCTGTAATCAGGTACTGAAGAGGGTAAATATGAAAGCAACGTGTTAAAAAGAAGAAAATAACTGCTTTGGAGTGAGGAGTGCTTTTGCTGTAATCATGGCAGTTTCTAGAGCCTGAGGTAAAGCTATGCATTAGAAATTCTTGTAGACTGGAGGGATTGTTGCCAGTTCCTGGTCAGAGATGAGAGGTTGTCTGTGCACTTTCTTCATTTCACATCACTATGGCACATGCGTGCAATGTGTGCAGAGGGAAGTGAACATTGCTTACTACGTGATACACCTGAGTTTTACTCTCACGGTGGGTGTTGATCTACCCTCTGCAAACATCACTAGTGTTCAGCTCTACCTACAGTACTCTCTACCATTGGAAAATCTAATATGCTGATTTCACTTAAACATGGGTTTAGATGAAAATAATAGGTAGATTGGCCATTTGGCATACATAAACAATTACTCCATTTTGAATTGTTCAAATAAAAGGCTGGCACTTTTTCTTAAAGGCAACATTCATCTGTAATGACTCAGATTCACTCTTTCATCATTAAGATGACTTACATACACACCCTTGCTGATGAGGTGAAGACATGGCTCTCTGGTTGTTTTGTGAAACTCCTTTTCCTCTCTGGTTCCCACTTTCTGTGAGCCCTATGGGTGAACACATGGGAATTCCTTGCTTTTGAGCATGGTGTGTCAGATTGTTTGGTGGGGTTCTACAGATTGTCAGCTGTCTGACTCTGATCTATGTTATTGAACATCTTTATGGCTTTGCAAGGTTCGGCACATGCTCTCAGCCTTGGGATTGTCCCCTCTTGGTTTATGCATCAGGAGATATTTGAATATCACAGTAGCCTATAGTCTGCATGTGTTCATCCAAGTAAACTTGTCCAGTAATCTTCATGGTGACAATTGTAAGAGTTGCACTCCAAGTTCTTGTTCTGTATTTCTAGCTTCTCTTCTTAGCTAATGTTGTAAAAGTTTTCTCAGAAAATCTGATCTGATGTCTGCAGAATACATCCTTGTGAAAGAAGTCACTCCAATTTCTCTGTACTATATAGGAATTAAAGTATGCCTTTTTATGTCATCTTTTGTATATAAGATTCCAGAAAAAAAATGGAATACTTCTTTTCTTACTCTGTGTGTGCATGTGTATGCCTACACCTGCACTGTGTTTCAGCTCCAAAAGTCCAGGACCTACTGTAATTCACAGGCCACCTGTTTCCTTTCAGGATTACAATGATGAAATCCGTCAGGAACAGTTACGGGAATTGTCTTACTTAAACGGCTCAGAAGACTCTGGTCGTGGCAGGAGCATTAGAGGCAGAGGGATCCGAATAACTTCCACCGCTCCAGCAAGGTACATCAGTTCTTATTTAGATAAATTAACAGCAGAGGTTGACCGCATCTTTTGGTTACTGCTTGGTGTGATGACCACAGGTAGGACAAAACAACAGGACCAGCAACAATCAGAAAAACAACAACTTGGAATGGTTATATGCCAAGAGCTTTGTGTGTGTTCGCTCGTTAGATTCTTTGCACAGGTTGAGGTTCAGGAGGTGCATGAAATTTTACCTAAAATAATACAGCCAGTCTGACTCTACAATTAACGGTTTGAGCTTCGAGCAAATACCCCTAAAGAACAGCAGCGGCTTGAGACTTTCTACTTTCCTATTCTGGCCCCAGGATGAGGAGTAAAAAGACAATAAAACCATTTGCCTCTTTAAACCAGAAGTACCTTGCATCAGGGGAACATTATATTTTTCTCCATATCTGAAATGATCCTTGAGTTGATAAAATTATGCAGGTTAAAAGGCAGACAGGCCAATAGACAGACAGATTGAGAGATACAGACATAGATAGAGACAATATATGTCATCTTTCCAGAAAGCCTGAAGCAGGACTGATGGTAAGGTTTCTAAAGTTCAGATACATTTGGCTTTGCAAAACCCTTGGTGATCAGAGAGAATCTTATTTGATTTTGTTGATTTTGCACAAAACTAAAATCTTTCTGTATTGAAGTCTGTTTTGTCAAACAAATTTTGACAAAACTTGTATTTGTCAAGCTTTCACTAGGAGCATTGATTTGCAAAGAAAGAGAACAAGCATCACTCATGCCCATCACACACAGACTGTGTGGTTCATTTGTTCTCTTCATTCTATGATTATTGGCCTTTAATCTGTAAAGGACATAGCTCTAGAATAATTCTTCACTTATCTCAGGAAATCTGTGGATTTAATGGGTTTCTTTAACTGTACCCCAAATATTGTCAACCACCAATTAAAAATTATTCCATTTTTAACATTTAAATAAAATTACTTCAAAAAGTTGAAAAAGTTTCACCCCTATCATTTATCATGCAGATCAGATATTAATAAAAGTTAACATTGAAGATTAAACCTCACTTCCAGTGCTGTGTGATATCATCAGCAGTATTAACCTTTATGAAATAAATCAATCAGAACTTTGTTGTTTTCTCTTCCAAACATGATGAAATGTTTCTACAATTAAAAATTGATAGAGAAATAGCTTCACACCACAGAAAATCATATTGGTCCAAAAAGTTTCCAAAGATGAGTTAATGGATGCTGATTTGCACATATTTAGGAATTATGAATTTATGACATTATCCAATTATACATCATTCAAAAATAGCACCTAGAATAATTTAAAGATTCAACAATTTGCTGACATTACATGTAATTAAAGGAACTTACTCTTCAATAAACATATCTATGATGACTATCTAATCTTACAATGATAGCCATGCTGGAGGAGAAAACCATTACATCTGTGTTATAATTATAATTTACTTTGTGTAATTGAAGAGTGGACACATAGAATGGCTTTGTCTTCACCAGCATGAGTTACAGGGGGGCTCAGCCTCAGACAAAGAGGCAGATTTGGAAGGCTTTTGCTTACCATGATGTCAGCTAATTCACAGAAGTAGTGGTGTTTTTTAAAGAGAAAAATAAGCATGTTTGTTCCTTAAAAAGACTACTTACTCAGTCATCCCTGAGGGTAATTAGAATTAAACAGACTAAGAGAGAGACAGAGACAGAGACAGAGAAAGGCAAGGAAGGGAGACTCACTTGTGGTGGGGAAAACAAGGAAAGACAAGTTCATTACCCAAGGCAGACAGAAATGAATAGCACTTGGGTGGTAGAGAAATAGAGCGAGTTTCAAATGTCTAGGAGTTAATGTCAACTAGATGTTGGAGAAGAAGGATGGCCCAGGACAAAAGTAAGTATTTGGTGTCTAATCTGGAAAGAAATTGATGTTACTGTCAAGTAAGATTAGATGAAAGATCAAGTGAAATCAGAAGTTTAATTAATCCCATAATTAATCTGAGATCTGTGGGTTGCTAGTAAGACATTAAGAAAATGAACTGCAATATTTGAGCCTTGTTTCCTCAAGTTCTAAAGTAGCTCAGACCTGACTCCATGGCAAGCTTGTCAAGAGATCATTTATCACTATGTAAATCATATCAAGCGGGTGATGCATATGGGGCCATGGTTCCCAAACCAGTTTGGACATTGAATCACTGGAAGCTCTCCACCCTAGGGACTGCAATTTAATTTGCCAAGGGAATGGCCTGGAATTTGGGATTTTTAAAGAGCATCACGTCACTCTAAAACAGACAACTTGTAGAACTTCTGACGCAAGGAGCATAAACGAGGTCAGTGTTTTATGGGGGAGCAAATTGCTAGGGTTAGAATTATGGGTGACAGGGTACAGCACAAGAGGAAGAAAGGAGACTGAAGACGTCCATTGTAGACACCCACATTTCAAAGGGGTCCCTAGACAGATGCTAGCGAAGGGAAGTTGACAAAAAGAGAAAGGAAGAAAAGTGAAGAACATCAAAGCCCACAGTTTCCAATAGTCCACAGTCTTAAAGATGATCCAGGAAGAAAGAGTCCAGAGGAGCTTAAAGTCGGTCAGCTGTGGTCTTGGTGGACTGGACACAGGGTTGAAAGCAAGAACTGGATTAATTACATCCTTTTCAAGAAGAAGAGAAAGTGAAGTATTAAATGCAGAAAAAGTTCTTTGAAGAAGCCAGAAAAACAAAGGAAAGAATGCTGTGCTGTAGATTCAGCCTGGGGCAGTGTCCTAAAATAGGTGCTGTGAATCTTGAGTTGAATAAAAGGAGTGACAGGATTTCTATTCCAGGGGAGTGGGAGAGGGCAAAGGAGATAAGGAGTCAGAGTCAGGAGAACAGCTGGCAAGATATTTGTCTGGGAGTCCGTTGATGAAGGGATGGAATGAAAAATTAGAATTGATGTGAGCATCACATAATTTTAGAGTAGAAAAAACTTACAGATGAAGACACCTGGGGGGGCGGGGTAAGGGGGAGAAATGACCCAAGCATTGTATGCACATATGAATAAGTGAAAAAAAAAAGAAACCTGCATTTAATTCAGTAGGGAAAATATACTGCAGGCGTACATAATTAAAACACCCTGATTAGTCAGTGTTATAGCCAGGCTGTATAATTTGTGGTCCATCCATGGATACTTCAAATCGCAGTAAAAGGCTAATTCTGCATTTGTAAAACCCAGACAGATGTTAAACTCACTTATGAAGAAGCAGGTGCTCAGAGGACCAGCGAAAGTCTACTCAATATCTATATTATATTTTATAGATGTGTTTTCATGTTATTACGAAAATATAGAATGCTGTGTTCTTGGCCATTGTACTTAAGGTTGGCATGACAGCTAGAAGAGTGTTCTAGATATATGCAAAGAGAGAGAGGAGAGAGGGAGAGAGAGAGAGAGAGAAAGAGAGAGCTCACACTAAGTTCTGTAATAGGTTCTCTACTCTTCAGCTGTACAATGTATTTAAGAATATTAAAAGACTTTCCAGCATTCTTACTCTTCCTGACCACTGATTATTCATAGCAAAAAGATAACCTCAATACCCATTAGGAGGTACAGACAAACCAGTGTGTTTGTTGACAACCCAAGGATAGTCATTTCTCCCAAGTTTTAGTGTTCTGCTGAAAGCCGTGCTTTCTGGAGGCCAGCCTTTCAGACATAATGAAAAGTGAAATAACCCTGCTGTCCCAGAGTTCAGACAAACAATCTTTCTGAAGGCCCTGGAATACCATTAAAGGTGGCTGCAGTCGTTTGATCTTCTGCCTTCAGTGCAGGTTTCTCCTGTGTCATGAGCACAGCACAGAGTAGCAGATCTGTTCTGTTCACTGCCAGTACGATGTGTTCCACCAGCCCAACAGCTACCATATGAAGGTATTTCATGTCCGTGACTGCTTCAGCTCTGGGGGTGACAATGAGTTGTGACTTCGAGTGACCTCAAACTTGAGCTACTAGAATAAACAATGATATCATGATTCTCACAGTCCCACGTTTTATTAATGTGAAGAGAGATTTATTTTTTTTTACAACATTGCACATCTCTGTCAATAACTAGCATGGAGCAGACATAGACATACAGCAGCTGTGTTTCGTAGATGGTCCAGTGAGTCCTTTCATTGGAAAAAGCTCTAATTTGGCTGTTCTTAGAAAATATGGGATATAATCCAAGTAGATTCTTGGGTTTTGTACAGGCTTTTTTTGCTTTGATGTTTTTTTTCAGGTATGTAATGGAAAACAGCACAGCATTTTACATTGTTTTCATGAGAACTAAGTCAGTATTTACAAATTATTACTGTGGAACCCGAAATATCTTACATCTGAAATAATTTCTATTAAACACTCACACAGAGGAAGATAAATTTGGATTTCTTCCATTCCATGAAGCTTTGATAGGAGAGTGCTTCTTGCTCTGGTTTTCTCTTACCTCTCTATGTCCTCTTTCCCCTAGGGGCCGTGGGGGTGCCATTCCTCCTCCCCCACCACCTGGGCGAGGTGTTCTTACCCCTCGAGGGACCACTGTGACCCGTGGAGCCCTTCCAGTGCCCCCGGTAGCAAGAGGTGTCCCTACTCCTCGGGCACGGGGGACACCGACAGTGCCAGGATACAGGGCACCCCCTCCTCCGGCCCACGAGGCTTATGAAGAATATGTAAGTACTCTCAGAAAGTGGGGTGTGGTTCAAACAGTTGAGGAGCTAAGCCTCAGAGACACTCACCCACCGTCAACACAGGAGGTGATTTGTTGCAGAAAACCAAGGTCACTGAAACAGAATGTAACATTGCACAAAAAATGCTCTCATTTTACAGGCGCCATCATTGTCATTAGTGTGAAGCATTTAAAAACCTGGGGGGGGGGTCGGTACCAGTGGGAGCAGGGAGAAGGTGGGGAAAGGAGGTGAATATGGTGCAAACAGTGTACACATGTATGTCAATGGAAAAGTGAGACCTGTGCAAACTGTTCCAAGAATGGGCAGAGCGGGAGGGATAAAGAAGAATTGTGGAGGGATGAATTCAAGTGTATTTGATATCTTGTAAGAACTTTTGAAAATGCCTCAACAAGTTGCACAATGATTAAAAAAAAGAAGAAGAAAACTATTACTGATCAGATTTCACATGGATATGTGACTCGCCGTGTAGTCAGACAATTCTGAGACGTGATGAAGAAATCTCGAAACTATTTGATAAACATGAGGTGATTAAACTGTGCTCTTTGGAAGTAATGCGAGACCATGTGGAGGTCTTTCATTTACGTATTCTTGACCTTTCTTTAGTTAATAACATCGCACTGTTGTTCAGAACTAAGAAACACAGAATGAGCAAAAGTGCAATGCCCCTTGTTATCCCTCCTCCCCAAGGTCACTTTCTACATCACGACCCCCTGTGACCCCTAGCTGGACTGTCAGTATTCCACCAGTCACATTGCGTTGTAGTCCTTGTGGACACTGCCCGTACTAGGTTGGGGAATTTGGACAAGGGGTCCCTTGTTTACTTTCTGTGCTTGTGTAGCCAGAAGAACTCCACTGTCAATGCTAAACTGAATTGGTCCAGGACAGTCACCATCTTATAAAGCAGACTTACATTGCCTCTAGCCTCTCCGGTGCTTATTCCACATGACCACCCACAAACGTGCTGCCCTGTTAAATGTCTTCTGTGAATTGTTTCTCATTAACTCCATCTGTCAAGGACAGTTAGCACCATGCCCTGGGCACTAAAACATACAAATGTTTTGTGGACTGGCCAAAAATCAATCAAAAGTTAACCTTAAAATGAAGTGACCCTCGTTGATAGGTGCCACTAAGAACATGAAAATGCTTGGTGTATGTTTGGTTTTAGACATGGTGTTGTTGTTTAAATATGAAATATTAACTTGTATCTGCTAGAGTGAAGGAAAGTCAAACATAGACGCCCACTGCTGCTGGGGCAGGTGAACGCGCTCCTCTTATCATGTCTTTCATACACCAGACATCAATGTCGAAAAGCTTAGGCAATCTTAAAGTTGCAAAATCCAAAACTGACAATATATTCTACCCTGTAAATAAACCACAAGTCAGAAAACACAAGAGCTATCCTGGGGTCTTGAACTGCTTGCCTGAGGTGTAGTGATTTGCAAAATAAACACTCATAAGTGAATGGATTAAAAACCCACAACACAGATGATGGGATGACTTTTTTTTTTTATTCATATGTGCACACAATGTTTGGGTCATTTCTCCCCCCTTACCCCACCCCCTCCTTTACCCCCCCACCCCCTCCCTTACCCCCTAACCACTCGCTACCAGGAAGAAACTATTTTGCCCTTATCTCTAATTTTGTTGTAGAGAGAGTATAAGCAATAATAGGAAGGAACAAGGGGTTTTGCTGGTTGAGATAAGGATGGCTATACAGGGCATTGACTCACATTGATTTCCTGTGCGTGGGTGTTACCTTCTAGGTTAATTCTTCTTGATCTCACCTTTTCTCTAGTTCCTGGTCCCCTTTTCCTATTGGCCTCAGTTGCTTTAAAGTATCTCCTTTAGTTTCTCTGCATTGAGAGCAATAAATGCTATTTAGTTTTTTGGTTGTCTTACCTATCCTCACCCCTCCCTTGTGTGCTCTCACTTTTATCATGTGATCAAAGTCCAATCCCATTGTTGTGTTTGCCCTTGATCTAATGTCCACATATGAGGGAGAACATACGATTTTTGGTCTTTTGAGCCAGGCTAACCTCACTCAGAATGATGTTCTCCAATTCCATCCATTTACCAGCAAATGATAACATTTCGTTCTTCTTCATGGCTGCATAAAATTCTGTTGTGTATAGATACCACATTTTCTTGATCCATTCGTCAGTAGTGGGGCATCTTGGCTGTTTCCATAACTTGGCTATTGTGAATAGTGCCGCAATAAACATGGGTGTGCAGGTGCCTCTGGAGTAACCTGTGTCACGGTCTTTTGGGTATATCCCCAAGAGTGGTATTGCTGGATCAAATGGTAGATCAATGTCTAGCTTTTTAAGTAGCCTCCAAATTTTTTTCCAGAGTGGTTGTACTAGTCTACATTCCCACCAACAGTGTAAGAGGGTTCCTTTTTCCCCACATCCTCGCCAACACCTGTTGTTAGTGGTGTTGCTGATAATGGCCATTCTAACAGGGGTGAGGTGGAATCTTAGTGTGGTTTTAATTTGCATTTCTTTTATTGCTAGGGATGGTGAGCATTTTTTCATGTGTTTTTTGGCCATTTGAATTTCTTCTTTTGAGAAAATTCTGTTTAGTTCACTTGCCCATTTATTTATTGGTTCATTAATTTTGGAAGAATTTAGTTTTTTGAGTTCCCTATATATTCTTTGTTGTCAGTCCTTTTTCTGATGTGTAGCTGGCAAATATTTTCTCCCACTCTGTGGGTGGTCTCTTCGGTTTAGAGACCATTTCTTTTGATGAACAGAAGCTTTTTAGCTTTATGAGGTCCCATTTATCTATGCTATCTCTTAGTTGCTGTGCTGCTGGGGTTTCGTTGAGAAAGTTCTTACCTATACCTACTAACTCCAGAGTATTTCCTACTCTTTCCTGTACCAACTTTAGAGTTTGGGGTCTGATATTAAGATCCTTGATCCATTTTGAGTTAATATTGGTATAAGGTGATATATATGGATCTAGTTTCAGTTTTTTGCAGAAAAACTGCTAACCAGTTTTCCCAGCAGTTTTTGTTGAAGAGGCTGCTTTTTTCTCCATCGTATATTTTTAGTGCCTTTGTCAAAAACAAGTTGGTTATAGTTTGGCTTCATATCTGGGTCCTCTATTCTGTTCCACTTGTCTTCATGTCTGTTTTTGTGCCAGTACCATGCTGTTTTTTGGGATGACTTTTAAAATTAGGACAACTTCTGTGGAAAATAGTATGGAGGCTCCTCAAAAGACTAAAAATAGAATTGCCATAGAGTCCAGTAATACCACTTCTAGGGATAGACCTGATGGAATGTGACACAGGTTACTCCAGAGGCACCTGCACACCCATGTTTATTCACAATAGCCAAGTTATGGAAACAACCAAGATGCCCCACCACTGACGAATGGATTAAGAACATGTGGTTATTTATATGCAATGGAGTTTTACTCAGCCGTGAAGAAGAATGAAGTTTTGTCATTCGCAGGTAAACAGGTGGAACAGATTTTGTATATATTGGCATCGTGATGGTTTTGTGCTCCAAATGCAGGTTTAAACAGATCTTTCTTCAGAAATTAAAAATAAGAGAAAAGCTTTTCAGGCAGTGGCAGTCAGCATTGTTATCAATGAAAAGTTCATGTGACGGATAGAGCACTGTGCAGGAGAACAAGATCGGGAAAAGAGAGCTGTAGTCTCTCTTGAGTGACCCCATTTACCATGGATAAACCACTATAACTCAAGGAACATACGAGTGAAGTACAAAACACACCATGGAAACATGGGGGAAAGGGGTACACTCTGGGTGGGGAAACCCCAAAAGGGGTGTGTTTCCTAGAAAGAAAAAAGAAAATATGAAAGGCATGTGACCTGATTTTTAATTTACATTTTAAAGCACTGGATCCTTTGCATTCATTCTCTCAGTTGTTTTTGGAGCTTCTCTCTTATTTTAGGCACCACTTTGAAGTCCTGGAGACAGATATGTGAAGAAATCAGATCAAATATGTGATTTCAAAGCTTGTATTGTAGTGGGAAAAGATAGGGAACATACAAACAACAAAGAAAGGTAGACTTGCTCTGGACAGACATGGGGTTGGGGCTCCCTACTACCAGATGGGCAGCTGGGGCAAATGGGGACTTGTGAGCAAGGCCATGCCTAATGGAAGGGGGCAATAAAGGAAGGGTTGTTTCTGGTAGATGAATTGTAAATGCTCTGAAATTGAACCTGCTCCAGGGAATTGATCAGCAAGGAAATTTGAGCCGGAGCAGAATGTTTGAGAGGAGGTGGAAAATAAGATCTGAGGGATGGACGGGCAATGTTTGATGGTAGTGGAGGGTTCGGGGCAGGATTTTTGACTGAAAAACTGTGTATTTATGGGAATGAAGCAAACTGTTGGACCGTGGGGAAGTTGAGGTTCAGTCCAAGGCCCTGTTGAATGAAGGCATTTGTCCTGCAGGAGTCAGGACATTGCTGGATAGATACGATGTGGATCTTGAAACTGAAGTAGCATCCCACGGTGTGAATTCCAGTTGTGTCCCTTTATATTTGTAACTTTGACACTTTGAGGCTTAGACTTCTCTTCTAAGTAATGAGAGTAATCACTCAAGCCTCTATTGAAGTTCAGAAATAAATATGTTTGAACACAAACATAAGCATACATAAGTGCCCATAATGAACGGTACTATCGGATAAAATCTCATTGTAAATGACATTCTTAATACCCTTGGCCTTTGGACTTCTTAAAATCATAAAAGTTTACCTACTTTTGTGGATTAGTTGCATATTATTGATCACAAACTGCAGAAGCACTTTGAGCCCCTTGTAATAATAATAAATAAAACTGGTGTTGGGGAGAGTGTTATAGAATTCAATGGTCGCAATGCCATCAGACCTTAAGAAATGTGTGGACCAAGGAACCAGAAAACTGGTCAGGAACCTCTCTCCCCTTCTCTGTTTACTATATTTTTAGGTCTACTTTTATCTCAGAGTAAGGTTTTTGTTTTGTTTTGTTTTGTT